GTCAGCAACAACTTTAATTATTATCATGATATTATCATTAATCGCATTTCATTTAACCATGATAATTGTGCAAAAGAAAAAACTGAAAAAAACTTTATTGAATGTGCATGCAAAACATTTGAATATTGTACCATGCTTATACATACCACAATTGGCTCTCTTGCGTAATAAGTTAAATGTGTTTTTTTTACAGAAACAAGGCATGAAAAGGCATGTTTCTGTCCCTCGATACTTTGGGAATAGGCCAAAGTATCAATATCTTTATTGCAACTAAAACAGCTGAATCAGTGCATCCCTAGTTGCTATGAGAATGACGCATAGCTTGAATTATATTGTGTTTACTGTAAAGCAATTCATGCTATGCATCATTCTCCTAGCAACTAGAGATATGAATGATGCATAGCTTGAATTGCATTATGTTTATTGTAAAGTAATTAAATGCAATGTGTTGTGTTCATGTCATGTATATCTTTCTAGAATCCCTATAGCTTCAAATGAAGCTGGAGGACAGTTCAGAATGCTGTTGTAGATTTGCTGTTCAATTGTGAGATTTATGGTTAATATCTCTATAATTACTGAGCCTATCCACATGAAACAAAAGCTTGCACTTAACTTCAAAAAGTGGTGCCATTATCCAACCCCAAAACTGTCATTGTCACAAGGCTTTAATCCGTTAGATTCATATGGCAAATCTGTCGATCCCTAACCAATAATTATAAGGTTCAACATGTGTAGATCATAAATTTGTATGCTTCTTGCAGTGAGTCTGTCTCCCACAGCGTAATTGCAAGCTAAGCAAGCTATTTGAAAATGCCCTAATGATAAACGAACATTGCATTCTTATTGTAATTTCTGTATGTTTCCTAAATGCTTTCAGTGCAATGATTACTAATAATTCACAAGCCCATACAAAAACACATACCTGCCTATCATCATTATCCATAGTTATGCTGTCGAAGAATTCACCATTTATCTCAGCTTTGCAAATACCAGACTGTTGCCTTGACAATGGGTGTAGATTAGTTAGACCTGGTGTAGTACGTGCAGATCTTAACGAAGTCGCAGTCAATCAATAAACCCCCCCTCCCCTCCCTTTTGCACAAACCTCCTACAGTGTGACCTCATGTGTCTGCTGCTGCTCAGGGCTTTACTGCCTGGAGACCACATCCTGTATCTCACACTGTTGCCGTGGATACAAGGAAACATTTGTCCCATGTTACAAAATGATGACGTAAATAAAATACTATAGTGCATTAACATGAGACTTGCAAAGCTTTAAATGTGTATCTTTTGAAATGAATGTCACATAGACACACAGATTTATGGTGACATGAATTAAAGTAACATTTACAATAGTAGGCTATGTTAGAGGCTTCAAAACATTATCTATAATCTAGTCATTATCTAAGGTGCACTATGTAACTTTGTGGTTGGGGGTCCATCACCTTAGCCTGATTCATCAGCCGGTTTCACTTCATGGAAACTGCATTAGGATTCGTTCGCTCGACAGTAGGTGGGTACTTTTTTAATTTAACCAGTTGCTGCTATTTGGTCATGATGTAACTGGTATATTAAGCTTTTCCCAAATCCCATAGGAAGAAGGGCAATACCGTCTTTCCCCTTGATTCACCAAATATTCTCTTTGTTCCGGCTTTAAGTCCTCGATCTCAAGAATCGTTGCCAACACAGAATGTATGGCTTCGTCTACATCCATCTAGACCACTTTGTTTACTGTTGTGCTGTACTACAAAAGGGACTTCACAGCTCTTTGCTGATTGGTCGGTGCGTGGCCTACAAATTCCGGGCTTCTTGCAAACCGTCTAAGTGTATTTCGATTCCTGACCTAGTCACTGGAGAGAAATGAATTTGAGCGGAGGAACTTGAAACTAGAAATACCTTGAAAAACATTCTGACTGTGATGGGTTGCTGGGTTGCTGGATTGCCCCTCCGCAGATGTGACCTGTACCTTGGTCCTGTAAAACATTCCAGACAAAGCAATAACATCTCCATGAAGAAAAGCATTTGGACAGACCCTCGACCAGAAAAGTTACACAATGCACCTTTAATATTACATTTAATTAGATGTTAAGTATATCTTGCAGGTTTGTAATGTGTAAAGAATAAGTTTTGTGTTAAATGTATCAATCAAGCAGACTTGAAAATCCATAATGTAAGAATCTTCACCAGTCATGTGACAAAAATGCTGCCTGCTGCCATATTGGATCTCATTTGCTTTGTGTGTATGTAAACAAATCTTAAAATGCCCCAAAAAATTACTTTTCATTTCTACAAAATACCTTGGCATGTCAAAATGTAAAAAACAACAACAAAAAAACACTTATACTATGATGAATAATGCATAAAATGACAAGCAGAGATTATTTTACAGATCCAGCATAAACTCTTAAACCCATAAACCCTGATTTTCCAGGAATTTAAACAATAGTGTGGTTTGAGTGTACACTAACCATCTCTACTCATTATATCCAGTACGACTCTGACTAAACTGTGTGACATAACCAACTGCACGTCCCTGACCTACATCTGCTTTGACTTCAGCCTGAAATGACGGTGATCGCTTATTTACGGTGCGAATAAGTGGTCATTTTTAGTCCTGTGAATTCAATTTGACGTCTTAATTTTCTTATTTTACAGCATTATGGCTTCCCTTTTCCAATCCGACCAAAGTTGACCTGAGTTGACTCCATATTTCTCCTTATTTTGTGCTTTCCGCATCTCTGTGCCTTTAAAACGTCGGCTACATCTACGGTAGCGCTGTTACGTACGATTCTTTCTCTCCTGTCTTCATTACGACTTTACATTGAGCAACGCGTGTCAGTTTTGACTTCTCCCATGCACCTGTAGCTCAGCGGGGTTGGTTTGACCGTCCTCCCAAGCCCCTCTGCTGCTTAGGACATAAACATACCCGTGCACGTGTCCTCATGACGTCAGGACTGGGGATTTCCTTTAGCGTACGACACCACAAAACGCTGTGTCACTGCTTTCCCCCCCCACACACACACACACACACACACACACGCACGCACACACACATTTGAGCCAGTCTATTTTCGATTCCCTCTTTCTTCCACAGTCTCGTCTCATTTTCGAATCCAGCCTTCTCCTTTGCTTCACCGGGGCTGTGTGAACTTTCGCTCACTTCCTCAACGGGCTGGCGATAATGGTGCTTTCCAATTTAGCAGCTCCTTTTTTCGCTCCTCCGATCCACAGATTTGTCGTTATAAGAAGAAGGCGGAGGTTGCGAAGAGAAATTTTTGGTTTGGAAATTAGCGTTGGCGATGCTTTTCTGATGCGTTTGGGGAAATGACATGTAATTTGGAACCGAGCGTTGACTGTTTTTAGTACACTTTTTCATTCCGCCTTATTAGTCGCTTTTACGTGTTAATCTTCTGTTTTCAAATCACTAATCGAATCATGTATTGATTTAGAATTCTGCACAATCAACATCTACTTCTTGCCCTGCCTAGCTTTGACTCAGCACGTGCTTCTCATTGCTGTGTAAACCCTCCTTTTTCTGCTTGTCATTTGTCTCCTTTCACTACCTCCCTCTGTATGCATGTGTGTGTGTGTGTGTGTGTGTGCTTTGTGGAACTGTGCAGTCCAGTCCAGTTTTTGCAGAGAGCCGCACACAGATGGTGCACAGTGATACCACATACCAGAGGCATTGTTTAGGGAAGGCGAGTTGGAGGAGATAATTGACAGCCATGGCGACCACCCATCCCCCTCCAAGCAAAACGATTCTCTTGTCCAACCTCGTCTCTGTGTACGCACAAACACTCCCGCACACCAAATCCATTCTGTCAACAAGGCTATCCCTCCATCCAAGGCTTTTTAAAGAACTCGTACACAGCTATATTTTCTACGTCCTCAGTCGCTCTCCTTGAAATTCGCCCTAGCAGCAGAGCCCGGCGAGCGCTCCGATTGGCTCACGCCGCGCCTTTGTAGCGTGACGTCTCTTCTCGTGTGTGTGTATGTAGCACATGTATGTTTAAAGAGCCAGCGGGGGGAGGGGTAGCGCTTGGGTCTCTCTCTCTCACACACACGCGCACGCACATACACACACATGCAAAACACAATACACAGAAGAGGAAGAGAGAGAGAGAAGGCTAGACTCGGTTGAACGTGTGTGGTAGACAAGTGAAGAGCAGAGGGGCGAGTGACACAGAAAGAGGGAGAGACAGGGAGAGAGAGAGAAAGAGGGGGGGACGTGAGTACTAGTACTAGTGTAAAACCCGATTAAAAACACAAGATGGCTTCCTGAATGGGCTGCCGCTGGAGTGCAGACAAGAGAGGAGGACTGGCTACTACTGAGCGTTACGTTTTGACGGAATAGCGGAGAGGCGATACAGGGGAGAGAACCGGCACTTTTCTGATGGGGATTTGGCTAACGCTGACTGAACTACCAACCAAGGCAGCCCACAAGAACGCGCGGTAAATATTTCAAGACTATTTTAGGAGGGATGGGGTGAGATGAGGTTGGCGGGACACAGAGATAAGAATAAAAAGGGGAGGAGGTGAGGGGGATAAGACAAAACACATTGAACACTGAGACTGCCGGCGAGGAAGTAAAGGAGGGCATTGTGTCCCTATCTGAAATGCTTTGATTTTTGATACATCCAATGTCACCGTAGAAACCAGGTCAGGAGAATCATATTACATAATTTATCGTAGCGTGAGTGAATCTTTGCTCTTTCAAGTTCTCGTCTAATTCTCCCTCCTATCAGCAGAGGGAAGTGCCGGCTTACTAAACAAAACGCTGCTTCAATTTCTACCGATGATCAAAACTGTTCAATTTACAATATTCAGAATGTCACTTACAGATTTGACTTTGAGTTGCCCTGTCGTAGCTGGTAGTGCGTTCTGAATTGGCTCTTGTCGCATTATTTTCATTGATTGTTATTCTTCCCCTCTCCCTCCCTTCTCTCTCTCTTCTTACATTATGTCCTGCTCACCTCCTCCTCCATTGAACTGCTGCAAAGGTGGACTATCCCGAAGAGGCCGGTGCAGTCGGCTGGGGGGACTCTCATCTGACAGAAGAGGTAAGATAAAAGATAAAATGATAATACGTAACTAGAGTGTATATTTTATTACATCTAAAATATTACTCCATTGACTTGATGTTGTGAATTTAGTTTATTTTATGATGTTATTTTAGCTGTAGTGAAACCTTTGATTTAATGTCTTAAAATGTTTTGTAGTATTAGTAATAATCAGGGTGTAGCGTCTATAATTTCTCCTTAGGTTCTCAAATCTTGTCTTGGTATATAGTCCATACAGTACTTGTTGCTTTGATAGTGTGTAATGACTTGGCAATACTGTATACTACAACTGCACTACTGCTATATACTCTTTAATTCTATGGGGATTGTCTTTTATTACACCAGTGTAGTGGGTTACCAATTGTTTCACTCTGAATATCATTCATACTTGTTTCTAACATCTGTTTATTGTGGTTGTATGAATTTCAGTTTCAGTAACGTCCCTTTATTATCACGTGCTTACATTGCTAGTTTTGTTGTTGATAGTAAAAATATTGACCATTGTGCCTATGATTTGTCAGTTTTTGCTGTCCCAGTTTTCTTTGTTATGACTTTCTATGGTGTCATCTTTGGTAGGTAAATTATAGCCGTATTTTGCACTGCTTTTCAATTTCATTTGGTAATTTCTCTTAAAACGAGATTTAGCTGCAGGTTTGTTTGTATGCATTTCCATTGTTTTCTCTTCCATCATGCCAACGCCTCTGTTTGAATTGTGACAAACCGGTAGCATGACTTTAATGACATTTCAATATTTTCTCACCCGCCAGCTCTGAACCCTCTTATGTAACCGCGATATCCCCGCTCAAACTGTCCCCGCTCAAACTCTCCACAAACCCAGCTTTTCTAGTCGCACTGCTTTCACACATGCATTCGATCTGTTTCTTTTCCTTTCCTCCACCGGCACACGAGTTGTAGCGAATTGGTGATGTAGTTGTTTAAATCACCCCACTCTTTCTGCTGATTGGTGCTGTAGAGCGAGCCTGGCGAGGGGAGGAGGAGCGCGGGGCAGTCCCTGATCCGCTTGGTTCACATGAGGTAAAGGGAGTAAAAGTTAGTGGGTCACGCATGCGTACATCTCTGTCTGATTGTACGCGCCGCTGTAAAAGTATTATTATTATTAGTAGTAGTAGTAGTAGTGGTAGTAATACTAGTAGTAGTAGTTACTCTGTAGCTACCGTCAACCTCTCAATCTGTCACATTTTACTGAGACGGGGCACGTGCTTGTGTTTATGCAAAGGTAGCAGTAAGTTAGTGGATCACATAAATGTCTTGATTGTAGTAGTACTGGTAGTAGTAATAGTAGTAGTAGTAGTAGTAGTAGTAGTTATAGTGATCTGTACTGTGTATCAATCTCTCAATCTGTCACATCTTTCCGGGACGTGGCACGTGCTTAGGTCTATGCAAAGGTAGCAGTAAGTTAGCCGATCACATAAATGTCTTGATTGTAGTAGTAGTAGCAGTAGTAGTAATAGTAGTAGAGGCAACAGTAGAAGTAGTAATCTCTCGATTTGGGCTGCTCCTTTCACATCTTACCGGATTGACCACATGCTTGTATTTTTATGCAAACGAAGCAATACGTCAGTAGGTCACACATATGTGTGATTGTTGTAGTAGTAGCAATAATAGTAGAAGTCGTAATAGTAGTAGTAGTACTTGTGTCTAGCTTGCGTCAATCTGAGCTGCTCCTTTCACAGCTTTCCGAGTCGGGCCACGTGCTTGTGTTTATGTGGAAAGGAAGTCTGCGCGGCAAGGTTTTTAGTGAGCAAATAAGATGTTGTGACACTGAACTGATAAACTGGGCTAAAGAGGCCGACTAAATAGAGAGCTTTGCCTTGAGCTCGTTCTGAATAAACTGAAGGGGAAAAAATAAATAAATAAATGAATTGTGTTCATTCAGACCGTTTACCTTGAGTAGAACAGTTTTTAATAGAAAAGATAAATTGCTTCAACAAGTCCAATAATCTAGGTATAGGTAATTTTTCTGGTTTAAAAACACAGTGGAGCACTTCTTGTATTGCCACATGACATCACGAGGTGGAATCAAGTGTTTTCTGTTTGAGAGAAATATGCAGGGTTTGTGTGTTTAACATGTGTGAATGAAATACAATGCAACTCTGGGTATGTTTGTGATGAGGAAACAACATTATAACATAGATCAGAAAATATTGTAATATGGGCCCTTTAATGTTGCCCATAAAATACAGTAGATAATCTTTAACTGGATGGAGATATGCAGTGATAACCATACTGACTGTAGAAAGTATATAAAGTATATTGTCACTATATGAATTTTTGGATCTCATTTCATTAATATAGAAATCTGTGACCTAAATATAAACAGTATACAGTAGGCTACAAATAATAATAGTAGTTAAGTTTACAAGATTCACTATAGATAGACATGTTATCGAAAGAGTGAAGTTTTGTCATTTGGCATTTATGAAGTCTTTTCAAAGTTGAGGAAGTTAAACCAAAGTCACCACAGCTCACAAAAGACACGCACCACACAAGCGTGATATTTTCTCCTTCGTATAGGCTACAGGATTTCCTTTCAAAACACCTCTTTATCTTTCACAGAACTGAGCAGTGTGTGTGTGTGTGTGTGTGTGTAGGTTTTGAAAAAAAACATTGATTATTTGAAGATTAGAAAGATGCGTGATTGGAAATGAAGCAATTGTTAATAATATATTTAGCTTAAGGTGGAATCCCCGACTGCGAACGCAAAGGGTTAACACTGACCTAGTTTCCGTGGCAACATTGAGTTTCTGATGACATCATGGTTTAATTTTAGCTCGAGTCCGACATCTGAGACTAGCATATATATCTGCAAACCACATGTCAAAGAGTACAGTAATTTGTAGTGTTATTTCCGAAATGCCCAAGAAATTTCTATCACTTTTTTTAGAAGTTCTACATTTCGCACCTGCAATCTGAAACCAATGACTCAGTTCAATCCTTGTCTTTAACATTATTACATTAATACACAATAATTAGTATAATGTTACTTCATATTACAGATTGGAAGTTTATTAAGATGTTTTTTTCTAGAAATATGGATTTTTTTGTGTGAGTGAACAATAATTCAAAGAAAGTTAACAATTAAAAGAATTAGTAGAACTTTATTGATCCACAAGGGAAATTATTTAGTAGCTCACAATATATTATAATAACAAAGAGCAAAACTGTAAATGGTAATAATAAATTCAAAATAAGTAGCAAAAATAACAATAAGGTATAATTATATGTATTTCTAATGGAAAGCAAGTACCATTTCCATATGTTTTATTCAAATCTGTCCTTTATTTATCTCAGAAGTGTCCAAGTTCAAGGAAATGAATCATACTAGTATTCTTGTGAAGTTGAAGACCTTCTAGGAGCTTGAAAAACAGATCACATGACTGTAGCCGGCACTACGCCTGCATAAGTGTGTGTAGTGACTGAGTGGTTTGGCACATACTATAGCACAGGAAGTGGAGTCTTTGACATCATCTCTGTGAAAAAACTCAAGGCTTCAGTGAATTTCTATAAGGTTTCCATTCTGTCAGCACAAAACCATGACTGTGGTTTACTGTATAGTGCTTTAATAGTTCAAATATGGAAAATGTGGTATGTCATTTTGCAATATGTCCCCACTTACCCTTTCAATCATATAGCCTACCCAGCCAAGACTCAATTACAGTGCAGTGTGTGTACAGTGTATTTTGGCTGTCTGACATTTTCATAACTCCCCTGCTGGTTTGTAGATCAATGTAGACCAAAATGTCAAATGTATTGTTCAACTTTTGAGACATAAATACTGCTAACCTAGAAAACTAACCCTAAAGTTGCAATGTAAAGTCCAACTGTACAAGACTTCAAATTAATGTGTAAATTTAAAGACGTACTATGTGACTTTTCTGGTATTGCTTTGGTTAGAATGTTCCACAGTATCATCATAGCACTAATCTATCCTCATGAACAAGAAGGTGATGCTAGTAGGACAAGTTACAGGTCAGATCTATGGATATGAGGATACAGTGATGATGCATGTTTTTCAAGGAATTTCTGAGCAGTGGAAACACCTGTAGTGAAAATAATGTTAAATGTAATATTAGTGACATTCCAGGCAAAGTAAACTCATGCATGGAGACAAGCAACTATCAGAGCCCCACCTTTAATAGTACAACTTTCACATAGTTTAAGGGTGCATTCACACTTGCTCATACATTAACATTGGGACTGAACCTGGACTAGACCAGGACTACAACAGAACCAAACTAAAAACCAAAATCAGTTGTATCATGAATTACAACTTGCACTATTTTATACTATTCGATAAGGATTGCATTAAACCTTCTACTTATGTTGATTAAAATGAAACCCGATGAGATCTGAAACTCGCTTGTGTGTGCGTTAAGCCCGTGGCCAATAATGATGCAATGATGTCTGCATTTGAGCCCTGCGAGGCTGTGTGCGCTCGGTGCCGCAGTTAATAAAAAATGAATGGCGAGTGTGTGGCGGGGAGGAGCCGTCAGCTGTTGCTCTGGCCTTTTAACTCTGTGTGCACCGGTCTGAGCGGTCCTGGATCCTGGTCTAACCCATCCAGCCAGGTTTTATGTAACGCAGTATAACAGCTGTGTGGCCTTTTATTATCACTTTGTTTAAACATACAAGCATGCATGGGAGGAGGAGAATTCATATCTAGTACCTAGTAATTATAAAACCACATTTACTATGACTGGAATGATAATATGTCTTCAGGTAATTTCTTCTTACCATAGTCCAGCCAAATAGTGTCACTTAAGCAAGTTTTGTTGTTGGCAAAATATTGTACAGTGCATTATATGTCCACAAAAAGTATACAGATAATAATAATAATAACAAATACATAACACAATACAGAAGATAGAAGTTTTATCTGTGAATTGTTTTTATTTTAAAGCATGTTAACTTCATGTTCAAGTTAACTTTGCAGTGCAGTCTTCACTTCAGCTCATATAACAACGTATTCATATTGGATT